TTTGCAACAAGTAGACTAGAGTGACTTTTTTCCTCAAGAATTCTTTATAAAAGTAGGAATTAAAGTCAGGATTCAGAAATGTCATTAAGCTCGTGATCATTTAGAGATGAGCAAGAACATTTTGGCATTATACCAGATAACACATTCTAATGAAACAGGTGTTGCAGGTTTACAAACTATACTTTCTACTAATATTTTAATTTTAAATGAAGTGTTTTAGTCTTAGACTGAGGAGAATAAAGCAACATAAAAAACAAACAAAACCAACCAAACCAGGAAACCAAAACAAATATACTAGTTTTCGATGAATGTTATTCAGTGGCTCTTTCTTTAAAAAAAACAACAAAGGCAAAAAACAAAACCAAAAACCACTAACCCCCTTCCCCCCGCAACCCACAATCATTTATATACCTGGTACTCTATTCCCACCACAGAAAACAACTCCCTGTTGACTACAGGCTACAAGTAAAATAAGGTATCTACGCTTCTGACCCCACCTCACTTGAGCACATCAGCAATTGCACCTCAAGCCATGGGCTCTTTCGGAAGGTGAGGGATAACCTCGCTAAGCTTGAGCTACATCAGTCAGCCTCAAGCTGGTTTTAGTACCGGCAGTTCCATTTCCTACCATTGGCAGCAGCAGACAACATGGGAAGCCTCCAACTACTTCAGAAAAGTATGTAACTTGGGCTTATGCCCAAGACAATCCACCTATTGATGCCTTCCATAACAGTTATCATTGCTCCCTCACTCTATTTTCCTTCTCACTAATTGTTTTCTTCTAAATTAATAACCACATTGGAAAGCAAACCAACATAATATGAGGGAGGACTCAGAGTCTCAACAGGTGACGCCTGAAGGGATGACTGGGTCGAAAAAGGCCCGAAAAGCAAGCAAACTTGTCAGCTTGGAGTAGTCACTCCCCCAGTATCTGTTTCTAGTCACTGTATTATCCCTGTATTAGTATTGAAAATACAATAGTAATCCTAAAGTTACTGGTCACTATTCTCGAATCACGCAGCACTTCTGTGTCTGCCACACACAGCACAAATGCTGTATACACTGAAGAAAGGGTCACACACGTACACCCATACAGAGGGCAAGTTTCTAGCACAGCTGAAGATACAATGCATAATTTTCCATTCCCCTTTCTGTGCTCCCTCTAAATTAACAGATTTATTTTTTTGAAGAGGAATAAAAGTGAATGAAGTGTAAGTATCCTTATAGGAAGTGATGCATTTAGCAGTGGCATATATCAGTGCATACGATTAACAATTGACATCCTCTGTTATCATAACCACTGTGAACAATGAGGGTAACCACACAGGTGGTGTCTTTATTTCACAAGATTAAAGATACAGTACAAAATGAATCTGTACATCTTTCTATTAACAGAATTTGTTTACACAATTATATTACATTTGACCAGCCTTTATACTGATTTTAAATACAAAATAAATTTACAAAACTCCTACAAGACCCTTTAAAGAACTGCAGCTGATAAAAACAAAGGGTTCCCCCCAATAGTCCCTATTTGCCATATGCATTTGCAGTAGTTCAAATCAAACTAAATCCTTTTAGTTTAGTATTCTCTGAAACAAAAATAGAATTTCAGTTCATTGTTGCCTATCTAAAAAGGAAGCAACTTGCAAAGGTGAGTGTGTTCCCCTTTTATAGGCCAAAACTAGCACAGAATAGGTGGAAACTAGATAATGCATAGTCTTAAAAGTCCTTTCACAATCCATGTTTTAAGGTTCTTCTCCAAGAAGAAAAACATTTAATAGGTGTGGGTTTGTTTTTTTTTTTTTTACTTTAATAAGAGCAACTGACTTATGGAAGATAACTAAGAAGTGAATAAAACTGTCTCGTAAGAGTCTCATTGGGATGTTTGTATCAGAGGCCTTATCTTCTATAACATTGTCCCATGATGGACAATATAAAGCAAGGAAAATTATTTCAACAGACAGCTCTGGGAAAAGTTTCACCAGAGCAATGAACTAGAATCCTGTTTTCTCAACAGTTCAGCATTTCTTTCAACCAGCAAGTGTGTTTGATTTATAATTTGAGATGCAGAACAATGTTTTCCCCAATATCTTTCCACAGTTTTCCTACATATAAAACTCCCACCGACAACAGTTACTCCTCTATAGTTCCATTCTCCGTGCAGGGAGAGGAGAGCATGTGTCCAGGAAGGTCAAATAAGCAGGCTCTGGCCTACGTTACTACAGACAAAGAATACAATTTTTCCATTCAAAGCATGCTGAACATATCCAGAAAGGCTTCTCCTAAATAAAGTTTCCCTTCTGAAATACTCCTGCATATAAACTGTAAGACAATCTGTGTGCTACCAAAAGGGAATACTACTTCACTTCAGTAAACTAAGCAACCCAGCTCCTTTAGGAAAAAAGCTGCTTGATAAACTGAGTGCACAACAAGAAACATATTGCTAGTAGGTGTTAAATATACTTCCCTCAAAATGCAAGTTTCAGAACAGAGTAGCAAGGGATTGTCACAAAAACTTAAGTCATGTTGTAGACAACTGATTTAGAAAACTTATTCATTTCTTTAATCCCTGAGTTAACTTGCCATTACTTATGGTAAGTACCTTTTTATGACTACCACTTCATTCAAATGAATGTCATCTGAAAAAGTTAGTGGTAGTAATTTGGTGGAAGGGAAAAAAGCAGGAGAAACTTCTTTATTGCTTCTTCAAAAAGCAGTTCTTTAAAGTGAAATAACTTGCTGATCTTCAATTGTTTTCTTCTGCTGATTTCTTGGATGTAAAAATGCATCAGGTTCAGTGAAAGTCAGCTGTAAGACTGTCACATAGCAGCAGTGATGAGAGATTCTCATGCAAATAGAACAGAACTTTTAGAATTTAGTTCTAATAGACCAAACCACCAAAACATTTTAATAATGCAGTAACAAAGTTGTTAAACATCCTAAGAGACCAATACCAATGAACCAATGGTATTTAACTGAAAAACATTTTCCATATAATCTTTAATTTATTCATGCCAAGCTAAAAAGAGCTATTAAGTGACAGAGGCGAAAATACTTCAGAGGGAGTGTTCAGAAGTCACAGGTATCTTAGAAATGCAGCTGGGGAGTGCTGTACATTTTAGACACTACATTTAAGTTCAATACTGTTCCATCTGCTAATGAGGATTAAGACTGAACAAGACATTCCTCTACCACATGCTGCAACCCTCCAAACGAAGATGAAAGATTTGTCTTCACATAACCAGCATAAGCGTTTTGAAGTACTGAGAAGTTCTACCTGTATTTTAATACTAGTCATCCATGACATTTCAGTTTACAAAAGAGTGGATTGCTTATCTTCTTTCTCAAACTACAGATCTATTGTGCAACGGTCTCCTTACAAATGTACTAAGTATGAAACCATACCAAAATCTCAATTCTAAATAAAGCATATTGATATTGATATGTTGCTGCCAATCCACTGGATAAATATTTGCATGAAAGGAAGCCTTTAACCCTTTAAACACAACAGAAAGCAGCTAAAGCCTCCTCATTTGTATTTCATTCAGCTTTAAGGCAGTACATTCAGAGGGTTTAATGCTAGTACAGAAACAAGTATTTAACTGCCATTGGTAAATAAGAACAGAAACTTCTGCATTTCTTGCCTCTAAGCTACTCCCCCGCTGCTTCCCACCCCCAATCCCTGAAATTATAGTTCAATGAAAATCGTACTAAGTGAGGATTCCTCTTGCAGTCTAAAAACATCAATCCACAGATCGTACTCTTTACGCTCGTTAAAAGACCTTTGCACTGACCTGGTGGTATCAAGAAACCATAAACCATTAGTCTTCTGTCTCTTTGGATTTTCTTGTTACAAGGGATCCTCAAGATGGCACAGCCAGAGATGTTATTTTGACTTTCTCATGTATGCCAGGTACAAGAGAGGTTGGTGACAGCCAGAGCACTGCTGTAATCTAACATACGATTTTTACTGGTGAGCCAAACTTTGGAGTAGCATCACTGGCATAAGCCCGTGCCCTTTTATAGAGAGTATGCATCTTTGGGGCCCTGTTTTGTAGATGCATTAAACAGATGCATGCATAAGACACTACATATGTTTCCTTCTTGCAGTGCAGATCGCTTACAGGATTGTTGAAAATTAAATACAGAACTTCCACCTCTAAAAACGGAAAAAAAAAAAAGTAAGCTAACTCACTGAGATTTCTGGCTCTGTCCTTTCTTCAGTGTCCACAATAATACTGGTGCTTTCTGCAATCTAGACTTAGCCTTTTTGTAAGAGCAAGTTTAAATAATTTAGGGACACTATCAATTTGTTTTTATGTCATAAAGTATTGCAAAGTACACAGGCTCAAAAAAGTTTTAGAAGGATGCGAGATCTGGGCACTGCATGGATAGTTTTCAACTGATGAGCTTTACAGACCCAATCTGCCCCAATGTGCCTCCTGGGCTACATACTGTCTGCTGAGAACTGTCTAGTCTAAGGGAATGGAGGAAAATACTCAAACAAAAAAAAAAAAGCACAAATGGAGAGTGGCATGTTTGCTGGGTTAGTTTTACAGAGTTTATAAATAATCCATGTTAAACCATCCAAGACAGCATAAAAGACCAAAGTGTAAGAAATACTAAGAAATAACGAAATAAGGATTGTAGAAATACTTGGGATGCAGATCAGAATATAAGTTCATACAGCTCTAGTCTTTTTAGAGTTTGAATATAGTTCAGCTTCTTGGACTTAAATTGGCCATAAAATTATTATTATTACTTTTATATAGGGCAACTGCCATCAAGCAGGCAAAAACCTTCCAATGCTAGCCTTCTGCTCTCTCTAGATGAAAAGGACTCTGAATGAAGAGGAACTAGATACAGCAGGCAACATTTTTGTAGTAGCACTCTTGTGTTTCCGTGAAAAAAGCCATAGTGTTATTCCATTGGCACTGAAATAACATTCAAATCAGTTTCAAAAGAATTTTCTTATCCCTGAAAAAAGGCATCATTCTAAGCAGCTTTCAGACTTTTTTTTTTAAAAACTTCTTTGCGCCTCTTTTGGGGGAGGGACAGTTGATCCAAAGTCCTAAATCTCAATGAAAATTGTTCCTTTTGGAAGAATCCAGTTCTTTCACTGAGGCTCTTGTTATTGTGGTGGTTGATGCTCTGGTGGTGGTTCTTGTTGAGGCACAGCTGGCCGCAGTCCTGCTGGTCTGGGAATTGCCTGATGTTGCCTTTGTCTGTAAGCTATAATTGTTCCCAGAAGCAAGGCGATGATGGTCATAAGGTAAAGGTCCCACTCAGGCCCCAGCAGCTGGTCCATATCAATATGTGAGAATACCTCCCTTATCTAAGAAACAAGAAGTCCACATCATCATGTCAAAGAGCAAGAATGAGAAGTTACTTTGATTTTAAATTTGACTTGTAACATTTTTCATGTACAAGTACCAGTTTTAAAACTTCAGTGGCTCTTTTTCTCTCTGAAAAAAATAGTATCACATCAGTGATGTTTTTAGTTTCCAGGAACTAAATGCCAGTAAGAGTAAGAGCCATGCTATATAGGATGAGCTATTCTATTTTCTGTTCTAGAGATGAAGGTTCTTGATACGTAGCTTTGTGGCTTTCACACACAGAGCATTAAAGTACACAATTTAAATCAGAATGAGGTATGTAACCATACTAGTTATATTAAAGGAGTATGTACCACATACACAGAGGCAGTGAGCTGATCAGTCCAGCCGAACTGGAAGCCACCAGCAGACTACCATGAATGACAGAACATTAAGCCCCAGGATACTTATGTGGTACAATGCTGAGATTTGTGCAGGGAAGTTAAGTGACTTACTGTTAGTTTTGATGGAATTGCCTTTTTATCAGACTTCCATTTGCATAAGCATTAGCCAACACATACTTTATGCTTCACTACTGTATCTGGTGGTACTACAGAGTCATTGTCAATTTAAGTCTGCATCAGCAGACTTAAAACTTGGAATACCCATGTTCCGCATACTAGCTTCTGTGAGTGCTACATGGGTATTTGCTCAATTGATTTAGAGTATTTTGACTGCTCGCTGCTCAACGTCTCCAGTCTCAAGACTATTAAAGTTTGTCAAACTTAGCTAGATTGCCTGAACTTGCGTTTGCTCAAAGTGGGAATAACTTCCGTACCATTTGAATTTATTAAGTAATCCAAAATGCAGTAAGATGTCAGAATACTAAGAAATATTTCAGACACTATACAGAAGGAATTCACCTAAATTTCAGGCAAATATTTTTTCAGTGCCATCACTCAACAGAAACTCTGCACAATAGCTAAACTATCTAATACAAATAATTTTTTTTTTCCCATAGAAATCAAGCACAACTCAAGTGTGATTGTCACAGCTGAACATAAAATAGCATGAGAATTAGGGCTACAGAAAATTACTTCTTTTTTCCTGAACTGTGATTATGTCATTGCACTCATCTGCTTAACTTTGATAGCAGATGGTCATGGATAAGAGCAGTCAAACAAGTTAAGGAAATTCTCTTCAAGGGAAGAACAGTACAGAAGAGCACTGGCTGTGCATATTTCAGTTTCACACAATTGCACAAATAAGAAATAGGAATCACAGCTTCAGTAACTTTCTTAATATGCAACAATACAAAACACATCTATCCTAAGTTTTCTGAAGACTCAAATAAGACTTCTACTTAGGTAAGATTACAACTGAAGCTTCTTTTAAAAATGGAAAACACATTTGTTGGTTTTCCTTTTAATTCTGCATTACTTACATTGATTTCTCGTACATACTGCAAGGAATAAATCACTCCAAGCTTGCAAAGCGCTAGAAAGACTGGAACCTGAGCATCTGGACTTGCTTCAGCTGCCATGTCATAGAATCGTTTTGCAAGATGAATATCCTAAAGTTAAGAAAATACAAAGCTCAATTTTGAAGAACTTGAAAAATTAACCATAAAATGTAGAGCTTTTTCTATAAGCTATTGTATACTGTCATTTGAATACAAGGTTTTTGGTCAAGTTAAACAAAAACCATTCAGCAAAAATTCCCCTTTTTTTCTGAGGGATGTTCACCTTTGAATAGACAAGTAAAGGGAAGCTTTGATCTGAGGATGAAGCTATCATAACTGATGCTAGAATTGAAGCTCCCAAAGAGATTACTATTAACGTATTCAACCAATGCACTGTAAGCTAAGGCACATATTTAGGTAACTCTAGTATACTCTTAACATCACAACCACCACACCAAACATGAAAGACTAAGAAAACACAAGTCACGGAGGAGTACACAGCAGCAACTCCTTGCAGTTATACTACAGTATGCCTGCTGCATAGTGCAGCTTCTAACCATTTCCGCACATACGCCCAAATCAGATTCTACTTCTTATTAAAAATGGACATAACTTGCATTAGGGAGGGCAGCCTGGCAAAAGCATGAGCACAAAGAGCCAGCAACTTTAGGAAGAGCTTAAATTAGTGTTCTCTTCTGTGGTAGTTGGAACAAGAAGGCGACTGTAGCAAGACGAACAGAGGATACATGTACCTGGATAGTTTAACTTTCCATGTTTGTTTGGGTTTTTTTTGGCTCCACTTCAGATACATACTGTGCAATATTAGGATACTTGGATACAAACTGCCTATGTTCACTCAGTGCTGTGAAGGACAGGCCTGTGTAAGACTTACCTCTGGAAGTGTTCCAAGTTGGACACTTAAAATAAGGGAAATCTCCAGGACTTCATGCCACATGTTCATTTTATAATTTATCCTGATTGTGAAATACCATAAAGACTTTCTGCTTATTGATACAGCAAAGCTTAGTTCCGTAACACATGTGGAAATAACAGTATGAAAATCAACACATTATGTGAATGAGATGTACTAGCTCACATTTTAGTATTTTAATTCAATAGAACAACTCTAAATACTCCTTGAGCCTGGAAAGTCTGTCTTTTGTGTAACTATTTAAAAGAGTTTCCTTACCTCCTTTGTACTGTGCTAGTATCAGTGTAGAAGCAGATCCTAAATCATGGCTTATTTTCATTTCTAAATAGAAAGCACTTCATTCTGCTTATATATTCTTCACTCGCACTTGACAGACAAGTGAGAGCTGTAGGAGTCTGAGCTTTAACACACAAATAGCACTAAAATACCATGCCAAAGCTTAAGAGAAGACCATGAGAAAATTAATTCGAGAAAATGAAATCATTCTTATTTTGAGCAGTATATGGAAACTTCAGTCTTCATTCTGACATGCAGGCTCAGGAATTGGACAACATTAAATCTATGGAAAGTGTGTAACAGTGTATACGTGTGAAATTTCTGAAGGGGCTTAATATTTGGCATTGACCTGGCATGAGTCTGAAAACCACCTATGTACAGGAAGTATAGCATAGAATCCTATATGTAAGAAAGACTATTTATTCGATAAGTAAAGAGAGAATAAGGCAAAAGCTGTTTGGGGGGGAGGGGTGGGACCAGTAAGAAATACCATATTTATTCAGGATTATCCAGAATGAACAGTGACCTGAATTGGAGTTGTGCAGGCCACCTTATTGGATCATTCTCCCTAACTTCAGAGTGCTTGCAATCTTAATGACGTGGACATAGGTGGGGAGAGAGTAAGAGTACACATCCCTTTCTTCACAGACTAAATCCCCGATTTGTTAGATACTATAATGCTGAAGTCTTTATACATCCCTTCCACAGGCCTCTAGTGGAAGACAACTTCAGTGGTAGACATCACCTGCTACATCAGGAAGCATGATTTTAACCGTCAGACATTTTCAGAGGTGCTCAAAATTCAGCAGTTTCCATTCTGGGAAAGGAAAGCCAAATATTCTTTTGCTTCATACAAAAGTCAGTCTTAGCCTTTTTCAGAATATCCTAGCCCAGAGTCATTTTAGTCTTATCTAGTCAGTCCTAAACGTCCATCCTCTCATCTTACAGTTGTAAAGTTTTAGGACACAGCAAGCAAAGACATTACATGTCCAGAATTCCTAAGACTGGTTTTATACACGGAATTTCCTTGCTTAGACATTCTCAGCTTCTTTCCCGTATCTATATTAACTATCTCCATTTCCCTTGCAGTTCAACTCTTCCTTCCATAGTGGATCTGTATGAGAGGAAAGTATTATTCATCTGCATAAAGCAAGGCTCATCATGACCCCCTATGTACTCACTTCAGCTATCTATGTGTAGCCATCTCTGCTTCAGGTTGGAGAATACTCTGTGCAAATGATAGCATTAGGACTCATTTTTCTCAAATTCTTAGCAGTTATGCTGAACGTGATGTAACAACATTTTCAAAGTTTTTATTACTTGCTCTAAATTGGGTTGTTTTCAAGGCAGAAACAAAAAAAAATTAAAAAGTCTGTGTCTGAAAGGATTTTTTTTTTTTTTTTTTAAAAAAAAAAAAACAGAAAACCTCCCAACTTTAGCACTATTGCTTTTAGCTGCAGGCTCATTTTCAGAAGTTGACTAGTTTTGAGGACTCAGTTAAAAAGAGAAAACAGTCCTAAAATAAAATTTGAAGACAAACTTTAGAAATAATGCTGTTTGTGTACTGCATTGTCACTTCTACAGCTAGGTCAGTAAGCAGTTTTCAAATGTTGATTGCTTGCTGCTGCCAAAGTAACAATATTGACCTAAGACTTGCCCATCACTGTTCTGACCTTTTGCCAAGAATTTAGGGGAAAAGAAGCAAGAATTGATCTTTTAATAGATCAACAGAATAATTAAAAGGTGCATATCTAGACAAAACCCAAATGTTGAAGCTCATTGAAAATAAGGAAAATGATACCATTTCTTACAGTTTCAGGTAACCCAGAAGATATTACTAAATTCATACATTAATTGCATGAATTAATCATACATTAAGGTAAGGTAGGCTGCTCAAAATTAGTATGCAATTACTAATTACATTATTTTGACACATACAAGAACATGTTGCTCTGGATTCCATAAGTTTTAGTTAACTCATGGACAGCAATACACCATATGCTTCCAAAGAGAACCAGATATACTGCCTTCTTTTAGGCAATGTAGTTTGTAAAGCAAATTGTGGCCTAGTCTAATTTGAAAAACCATAGCTAATAATCACATTGTTGTTGGTGCTTACGGTTTGTTACTTGAAGATGAACAGAATTTGTCATGATCTTGAAAACAAATTAACCAGTGTTTCAGAGGATGAGAACAATCTTGTGCTAAAATACTCTGAACCTGGAATTGATTTGTATTCATTTCATTACACTTCAAAGTCTTGAAAGCATTACTTGAGCATATGGCACTCTTCTTGCCAATCTTAACAATTTTGGACAAATAGTTTTTTCCCGTCTATGCCTCGTTTCTTCACTGTGAAGTGGATATACTTATCCATTTGATATTGGAGAATGTATTGGAAGACATGCTAATTCTTACTAAGTGGTTATATAGTGCCCAAAGCCCATAGTGGTTATGGACGTAATCTAGTATTAGTAAATGCACTGTAATGTAATGAAGCAGACTATCAGCCTACATCTTGCTCACCTGTTTGATGCCCAATCCCTTCTCGTGCATGTAGCCCAAATTAAACATTGCTTGGGCACTGTGCTGTTGCTCTGATGCCAGTCGATAGTGAATAAATGCAGTTTCATAATCAACATCAGTACCAAACCCATAGAAATGGTAATCTCCAAGTTTAATTCTTGCAACAGTATATCCTATAAATCAAGAAACAACAAAAAAGATAAAATAGCTAGGCAAAGAAAGCCTTTTAGTTTTTGCAATAAGGGCTTTAGTATTACTTTCCACAGTTTGCACAAACTGTTTCCCTTTTTCTCTCCCTCACATAAACGGCTTTTTTTTTTTTTTTTAAATTGGCTTTAGCTAACCAAAAGGCAATTGATTTCTATTTTCAGGAAAGTCCTTTTCCCAGTAATCCTACCACCATTTTTATTGCTATTTAGTGGCATCAGTTGAAAAGCTATATCATAGTCACTTATTACAGAAAAAATTTCATTTGTTATACGGTCATTAAGGGCTTCAGCTTTGTTTTTAAAACAGAGACACTGAAAACTTGAAAAATAAAGTCTCTCATCATCATTTGGTAATTGAATACTTAACCATTCCACCCTCTCAATTTCTAACTTTCTACTAAAAGCCAAGTAGCTCTGACGTTTTTCAGACAAAACTCTTAGTTTCCATTTGCACGATACACTTGCTCTTAAGTAAAAAACTAGTAGACAGACAGTAATGTAGATGCACCCGTATGAAAGTTAGAGACCTCACACTGAGATATTTAATGATTAAGTTTAGTTTTGCTTATTTTAGGATAGGATCACAAGCATCAGAGTTTAAACTTGGGTTGGTTGGACATCAAGACTGCATTCTTCATCACTGAGCTTTGCTTGCTTTGAATAGGAAATTGCATTTCTTATAAATGATGACAAGTACCAAAATCCTAAAGCATAGTTTGTATCTATTTTTCCAAGTGGATTTATTTTTGTTTTTAGAAAAGTCAGTGTAATCATTCCTAATGCTGTTTAACACCGCTCTATAATTCCATGTGGAATGGCAAAAGAAACACACTGTACATTTGTGTTTTAGTCCTTTTAATCTTCAGGACCTCAGAATGGCTCGGAACTGTAAGCATATTGCAATGACAGTATCCTAACAGTGGAACAAAGAACAAGAACTACCCTTTGTGAAATATAACTAATGCTGAACAGAAGGATGTAAGCTTTCCCTCCTTCCCTGTTTCATAAAAAACATGAAATCAAACATTAATGGGTCTACTAAAAAGAAACTAATTGGAATTGTGAGGTACAGACATACCTTGAGAAGCTGCTCTATTCCAGTGAAGCAAAGCTCGAGGATAGGTTTCATTTTCTCCTACTATGCTAGCTTCTTCTAGAGAAGAAAGTAATTCAGTTAAATAGGGGCATGGTAGATGCACAAAAAACTACAAAAAACCCCCATGCTTATATTCAGTCTGCTGAAATGAATTAAAACTTGAAGTAATCTGTGCTATAGCACAAACAAGATTCAAGCCATTTGAAACCTATAAAAAACCCTTTCATGTATATGGTCTTTCCATATATCTGCCCACGTAAAAGCTAGGAACAAACTGTATCATTTCACCCTGAAATATTGCTTACTAA